AAATCAATAACGGTTAAATATTCGTAATTGATCTCCTAAACTTTCAAATTAGTAATTACGAAATCTTTATCTTAAAATCATTAGCTTACACATTATTCATATATCAAAAATGAGAATATGGACAAAAAAAAAAAAATGATTATGGACGTGACTGAAATAGTTTGAACATACCCGTGACTGAAGATTTTGCCGAAAGGACAGCTTTATAGATTAACGCAGCGATGAGCTGAACACGAGTTGGGTTCTCTGCTTTCTCAGAAACCATAGCTTTAAGAGCCGCAATCTTCGAACCTTCAAACACCAATCTCTTAGAACAAAATTTTGAAAAGGACAACGGAACCTCCACTCTTTCATTCGTTCCAGAAGTATCCTGGCGGCCAGATGGGTTGTCGCTGACCTCCAACTCAGGCGGAAAACAGGTGGCGCCGTTGAACTGAGGATTGACTACCGGCAGATCGCCGTGGGTGAAGCTACGAGCAATGGAAGCCCAATCCCTCATGAAGTGGGTTACGGAGTACATATCCGAAAGTTTGTGATTGAAGAACACACAAATCACTTCTCCTCCACATTCAAACTGGGTCAACTGAATAGACAACATAGGTTTGACTTCTTGTTCCTTCTTATTCATGTCATCTAAAAGAAGCAACTTCAACTTCTCTTCCCGTTGTGAATCTTTGTCGTTCATAACGTCCGTCATCGGACACCCGGCCTTCGCCACCAAGAACATTACACCCATGTCGTTGCACTCGATATAGCTACCATGTTGTTCTAAATGACAAAAATGTATATTAATAAAAATATCCATACATTATTTATTTTCTCTGAATAAAAATACTAAATGTGAATGTTTGATTAATCCACCCCACCTAAATGGTGTGAAAGTTATCTTATTTATAATCAAATAAATTACAAGGATATGGAAATAGTAATAAATGGAAATAACAATAAATGGAAAGATATCTATAGTAATAAGGCAAATATTAGATATTTGCCTTATAATAAAATATCAAATATAATATATACGGGAAAGTATAATTTATTACTAAATATCCTTAACACCCCACCGCAAGCTGAGCGTCAGATTTGAACGAACGTGAAGCTTGGATCTGAAAAATTCAAAGAGGTTGCGAAATACTTTTCGTGAAGATGTCAACAACCTGGTTCAGAGGAGGCGTAGAGAAACACTTTCTTGGCCATCAAAAATTGCAGAGGGATTGCTGCTTAGCGGCGATGCTGCCTTGGCTTCGACGAGAATATGTCTAACCCATGAAGAGGGATTGTCGCTTAGCGACGATGCTGCCTTGGCTCTGGTGAGAATATGTCTAACCCCAAGAAGTAGAAGGGGAAACCTAGAGCAAGGGACAAAGACAATGTTGAAGCCGAAAGAGTCGCCACATTGGGCGAAGGAGCCAATTTTGGCGAGAAGGGCAGCTGGAAGAGTCGCCACATTGGGGCGAAGGAGCCAATTTTGGCGAGAAGGGCGGCGGCAACTTGGTTGGCGAAGATGCCAGTGCGGCGCCCAGATTCCAAAGGTAAATCTCTACAGAAGGTCGATGGGCTTATTGAGATTCTGTATATTTTCGAAGAGAAATGCTGATGAAGATCCTAAGATTAGGGTTTTTGTGAAGGATGAAGGATGAAGGATGAAAGGAAAATTGGGAAGAAAATGAAATAGGCTATGTTTGGAAAAGGTGAGGTTGTATGTACAGAGTATGGCGAAGGATGATTTGGAGGTCAAAAGGGTGGAGCCGAAGAATAATCAATCGGCTCTGCATGTGACAGCCATGACGACTGCCCCTGCGGCATCAAAGACAACAGTGGTGGTGGAGAAGAACAGTAGAAGATTTCAAAAACCATTGAAAAGAAAGGATCTAGGTTGCTAAACCAAAATGACTCTGATACCATGTGAATGTTTGATTAATCCACCACACCTAAATGGTGTGAAAGTTATCTTATTTATAATCAAATAAATTACAAGGATATGGAAATAGTAATAAATGGAAATAACAATAAATGGAAAGATATCTATAGTAATAAGGCAAATATTAGATATTTGCCTTATAATAAAATATCAAATATAATATATACGGGAAAGTATAATTTATTACTAAATATCCTTAACACTAAATTTTCAAGATCCAACACTTAAACACACCAGTAACAAATATTGCCGTAAAAGGTATTTAAACCGCGTTTGTTTAAGAGAAATTTCCATACATTTATAAAAACAAATGCTTTTCTGGAGGTGCGATCTCACAATCCAACCCCTTTTGAGGCTTAGCGTCCTCACCTATACTCGTTAACTCTTATACATAGAAAATGAGACTCAATATTTTGACTACTAATTTTTATTTATCTAAGCGGTTTTCTTTCACTCAAATAACTATCTGATTTAGTTCATTAATCCGAATAATGAAGATATCTATTCATCACCCCTTTTACAAAAAAAAAAAGAGGAGAAGTTTATGTCTCAACGAATCACAGGTAGAGATATTGATAATACACATAGAGTTAATGGTATTTCATAACTAATTGACTGAGTAGCAGCTCGTAGACCACCTTTCCCTTCTCCAATCTATGTGAGACCCCTTAGTTCACCCGTTCGAGGGCCAACATCCTTGTTAGCACACTATCTTATGTCTATTCGTTTGAGGTACAACCTCCTCACTAGTAAATCGCCCGGTGTTTAACTCTAATACCATTTGTAACTATCGAAACTCACTACTAGCAAATATTGTCTTCTTTGTACCTTCCCTCTCGAACTTTCACTCAAGATTTTTAAAACGCGTCTAAGCAGGGAGGTTTTCACACCCTTATAATTTCTCATTCAAATGTTATAAAGTTAAAAGGATTATTTGAGTGTTTGGATGAGTAAAACTTGAATGAACAGACAACAAAAGGGTTTTACGAAGAAAAAGCTGTAAAAATTCACCGGGGTGTGAGAGATGTTTGGAGGCAGGCGTGAGGTGGAGTGCGCCGGCGAAAGGGTAGTAGAAAGTAAGGGCCTTTGAGAGGCTGACCTTGAGCAGGCGATGGTGGCCGGAACCGACATTGTTGCTGTTATTAAAGAAATAGAGCATTGGTAGGTAAATGTTAGGGGCATGTAGATCAAACAAACAGAGGGGCACATATCTGAGCTCCGGTGGGGTTGAAGTCAAGGGCTTGATCATCTCTTCCGACACTATTTGGAGCTCCATTTTTTCCGGTGGGGTTGGACGTGTTTGAACTCCACTACTACTGCAGAGATTTAAGGACAGAACGCAACATCAGTTTCAAACTACGACATAAACGTGAGGATGTCTTAGAACAGCTATCAACCATACATTTTACCTACTACTTTCCCCATAGTGAAATGATTTGGTCGCGGAAATGACCGGGGGAATAAAAGGTGACTTAATAACTAAACCAACCACTCTTAAAATTTATTATAAATAATTAATAACTTCATTTTTAAATCACTAAACATTTATTGCAACTGAACTAAACATTTATTCCAATTGAATAATCGATTATATAAATATTAAAATATCATTGAAGTTAATTTTTTAATAAGTTATGGAATTAATGTAATTACATCTGACAACATAAATTTAACAAAACATAAATTTAACAAACCACTTTTTCATTGATTAGGTCTATGAACGATTACGCATATACCGTGGGGTGTTTAAAGTACTCGATAAGAAAAATTATTGAAAACAAGCCGTTTACAAAAACAAATATATGGGATACCTCATATAAAAAAGGCATACACATGACAAATAGTACTGAACTATTAGCCCTCTATAGCCTCACAACTCTGGAATGCTCCCATAGTAGATGTTAGGTTCAGTTTCTACCTAAAAAACAAATTGAGCATGAATGGTACAAAAATACTCAATAGGTAATCTAGTTATAAGTCACTAAATATTACCTGCCTAGATTATAGGCTATTAGAAGACAATCCTTAAGTTGGGTAGCTTACACAAGCTTTTGTTGGGTCATAAATACGAGTTATGAACTTCTATTTATGAGGGTTTATTCTCTTATTTTTAGGGGTGAAATGGTTGTTAGAGTAGATTTAATGTGTCCGAACTAAGAACATAATTTTACTAGATGAAATTCACTTAATGAATTAGAATTGTAAAGGATTTCAGTCCGTTAGAGAGAAAACAAACACCAATAGCCTGATTAAGTAACCAATAGGGAGAGGGAAGAAGAGAATATGCAATAAGCTTTTTAATGTTCAATATTCTTATTTTTTTGATTCGCCGACCAAAGCTCTAATGTAGAGAGCTAACCTACTAGTTGGCTTACTTGCTTGTTAGAGTGAGGATTAGTTGGGTCGATTGAGGTGGTTCAATCTAACCTTTGCATCCATCTTTGGCATTCTCAAAGATTAGTTTTAGGATTTATACTCTCTCACTAGTCCGATATAGAATTAAATATAAAAAGTAGCTAATGTTCATAAAGGAATCATAATTTACAAATCAATGTTAAAATATATAATTTGTTTTTAGAATCTTATTCGATTATTCGTCAAAGAGACTAAGCCAATAACATTTTAAAAAAATTTGACCTTTTTCTCTCTCTCTCTCTCTCGACTATAAATCTTGGGTATGGAACAGCTTCTTGAAGCACATTCAAATAAAAAATGGAGCTTGAAATATTGTGTAAAGAAACCATCAAGCCCATAACTTCAACCTCGCCGGAGCTCAGAAATCTCCCCCGCTGCCTGTTTGATCAACAAGCCCCTAACATTTACATGCAGCTTCTTTATTTCTACACCAACAACAACGCCGTTGTCAGCTCCGCCGGCTGCCGTCGCCGGCTGCTGAAGGACAGCCTCTCAAAGGCATTGACTTTCTACTACCCTTTTGCCGGCCGCCTTCGAGACGGAGGAAACTTCATCGACTGCAACGACATGGGTGCCATCTTCTCCGAGGCAAAGCTCCGGTGTTCCATGTTAGAATTTATGAACAACTTCAATTTGGAAAGGGAGGAGATTTTGAAGTTGACTTTTGCCGTTGACATCAATGGAAATGACCCAACATTCAATCCTTTGTTGTTGATTCAGTTGACCCAATTTGAATGTGGAGGAGATGTGATGTTTGTGTTCTGCTCCCACAAAATTGCAGATTTGGCATCGTTGACTAATTTCATGAATGATTGGGCTTCCATTGCTCGTAGCTCCGACGACGGCGATCTGCCGGTGGTGAATCCTGAGATTAATGGGGTCAGTTATTTCCCGCCGGAATTGGATGCCGGCGGTGACCCATTTGGTGGTGGGGATGGTTCAGGAACGGTGAGACGAGATGAGAATGTGTGCTCGAAGAGATTGGTGTTTGAGGGTTCGAAGATTGCGGCTCTTAAAGCTATGGTTTCTGAGGAAGTGGAGAATCCAACTCGGGTTCAGATTCTCACTGCTTTCATCTACAAAGCAGTCCTCTCGGCCAAATTTTCAGCCACAGGTGCATTAATTTGGTTGGGATCATCTTTAAACTCGATTTAATATCGATAGGAGCATTTTAATCTTTGCGTAAACGAAAAAAATCTTAAAAATTATTGAGCATTCAAGATCTAATTTGATATAAGGAATAGGTTCATGTATCAACTAGGCATGTATTGACATTTATTTGATTCAATAGACCATTTTGATTCTTTAACTCTTATTTATCTTATTCATAATTCTTTTCTGTTCATCTTCTATTTTCAATTTGACATTAATACTTGTATGCTTGCAAAGGTTTGTCTAGCATCGTTTTAAGGTATAAAGTTATTGTCATTCTGCATTTGTCTGGTGTAAGTGAGAGAAACTATATGCTAGAAATTTTGTAGTGTGAGAGTGTGAAATATACACTTTTAAGATTAGAGTGATTGACTATACTGGGAATGGTTGGGAGGGAGTTTCACATTAGCTAATTTAAGAATTATGGTGAGTTTATAAGAAAGAAATATATATCCCTTTGTATGAGCCAACAAAACCATGAGAGTTTATGCTCAAAGTGGACAATATCATGCCATTGTGCAGATTTGTGATTCCTAACATGGTATCAGAGTCGTGCCTTTAACTTCGCCATGTCAATAGAATTCTCAGATGTGGAACAAAGAAGTTGTGAGCCTTGATTAAACTTGATTAAAGGGAGGCTGTTAGAGAATGATCGTAAGTTTATAAGTAACGAATACATCTTTGTTCATATAAGGCTTTTTAATTAATTTCTATTCGTGGGTGCGTGAGTGAGTCTTCGGCTGCAACAATTGGCACTATATTATTGTGGTTGGCATTAGGTTACAACAAAAAGATCCTCACTTTTGTCTGTGGTGCTAATTTGTTCTACAAAGGGAGTCGGCCGGCGACAAGTCTGCTGCAGCTGATCAACCTACGCAGGAGAGTGGAGCCACCATTACCTGAGACATTAACTGGAAACATAATCACATTCTTCATAGCATCATGGACGGCAGCGGAGAAGAGGGAAATGGAGCTATGCAACATGGTGGGTGACATGAAGACAAGCTTTGAAGAATTCTGTAAAACATTCCCAAGAAACTACAGAGACGAAGCATGGAGTTCGCTTCACAAATTACACGCCAAAGAGTCGATGGAGACGTGGAGAAATCCAGGGGAGCGTAGTGTGTACACATGCACCAGCTGGTGCAGATTTCCTATGTACGAAGCTGATTTTGGATGGGGGAAACCTGAATGGATCACTGTGCCTGAGGCTCCATGGAAGAACATGATCTTGTTGATGGATGCCAAAAATGGCGACGGAATTGAAGCCATGGTCAGCTTGGACAAGGAGGAAATGGCGGCCTTTGAGCAAAATCAAGAACTTCTTTCATTTTGTGAACTCAAAACTGCAGCACAAATGCTTTCACCAAGTGCCTAGAGACTTAATATTTATAGTTAGTGATTCAAACTTAGAGTATCGTTAATGTTAAAAGATGGTTGGGAGTTAGTGACACGTTGGCTAGTCAAAGATGATCATGAGTTTACAATTAAGTAATACATCTCTATTAGTGGGTATTGCACGGTATATTTGTGTAGCAAATTCTAATGAAGAATAGAGTTGTATGCCCGTGAAATGAGAAGAGAGAAACCTTCTCTTTTTCTGGTTCCCACCACCTCTTTCGATCCCCACATTGCGAAATTATTCATTTATTTTTGTGGAAATTACACGGAGATAAAGAGATTTAAAGGAGAAAGTATAAATTTTTTTGTTCGGTTGTTATAAAACTAGATTCCCACAAAATTTTCACAGGAAATCCCTATCCCGATCTCCAAAGAAAACCTATAAGATCATGTATAGCAGCATACCACCGATTTAAATCTATCTTAAGAAAAATTTAAATAATATCTTTACAAGAACAAATTCCTTTTTTTAATTGTACTCATCATTTTTATACGACAAAATTCAATGCATAAAACACAAAAATCCAAGCTTTTTAAGATATTAGAGATAAAGGCCAACATGACGACACATAAAACACTAAATACACATATTTAGTCCAAATACCAAAAGACGAAAATAATTGTTGTGATAAATTATTTGAAGATACACAACCCAAGATTCATATTTCAAGCACCACAATAAGTTTTGAGGGCAGATTGAGCTCTTTGCCCAGCTTCCGTGTAGTAGAACTGAAGGAACTCAACATGATCAAATGGGTTGAACAGCAAAGGATGTTCTTCATCCACCAGCTCCTTTGGTGCCTTTATCACATACCCTGCTTTTGGTATTGAGAATAGCCCAGCTGAGTACCTTGCTTTCTCCCCACTCATCACCACTCTATGATATGGAGAATACAATCTTCCGTTCGTCCACGCCTGCATTAACGATCCATCGATCGATCAACTATCGATCTAACTCGAACAGAAAACTGAAAACAAAATTGTATCGTTACTCACGTGGAAGGAATCTCCGATCATGACTACGAAGGAATTCGGGGACGGTTGGAAGCTAATCCATTTCCCATCTTTGGTCTGAACCTGCAAACCCTCAACATGGTTTTGATATAAAATGGTTACGATGTTCTTATCGGTGTGGGAATGAAGGCCAAGCTGTGTGTCATTGCTTTCAGGGCCTTTGTATTTCATCACTCTAAGAAGATAGTTTGTTGAGTCCAAATGTTCCTCCATGTATTTTTCAACTCCCAAGCTCTCTACAACCATCCTCCTCACCATTTTGTCTAGTTCTGATAATTGTTGTGAATATGATTCGATAACTTTGCTGCCAAAAATCCAAAATTTAAACAAGAAACAATAAGAACATTACTTCAATCTCTCACCGAATTTGTTGAGGATTATTGGGAGAGAGTCCTACGGTAATATTCCAAGCCCCCCGCTACCATATATTGTCCTCTTTGACTTGGAGAGGTTTCCACACCCTTATAAAAGATGTTTGGTTCTCCTCTCGATCAATGTGGGATCTTACAATCCACCCATTTGGGGCCCATCGTACTCACTGAC